TCGTTGGATGGTTTCGTTGCCGAAGCTTGAGCATTTTTGCAGAATGTGTTTTGGAAAGTCAGTTTAAGTGTAACAACGGCAAATGCATCCCACTTTCGTGGCGCTGTGATGGCGATGAAGATTGTCCGGATGCGGAGGATGAACAGAAATGCTGTGAGTTTACGGCCTTTTTTTTTTTGTATCGCACGAAAACTTCTTATCAACAGCTGCACATTTCCCAGCACATGCACTTGAAAAATTCCGATCTCTGACGGCAAATAAGCAAAGCAAAATTCCTCCGCTTTTTTTTACCATTTCCCTTAAAAATCTCACCGCTTTCTCACACAATGACTGTTTTTGCTAGCTGTTGGGAGGTTTTTATAGCTATTGTTTTTGTTGATATTAACCGAGTTTTTATGACCAATGTGACCAGTTTAAGCTCGTGTTCCATGCAAGCCGGACAAGGAATTCGAATGTGTTGGCGATTCACCTGGTATCCCATTGTACACCTCAAAAATAAGGGACTATCCGGCACGATGTATCCCGAAAAATTGGGTCTGCGACGGTGAAGCGGACTGCCGAGATTCTTCGGACGAAAAAGGATGCCACAGTATATTTTTCAACTTTTAGAGGAGCGACCAGAGGCCATTTTGCTTGCCATGATTCACCTCGGTTTCAGATATAACGTGCGAGAAAGACCAGTTCGTTTGTGAGGAGTACAAAGGCCATGCGAGGATGTGCATCCCGATGTCGTGGAAATGTGATGGGCAGAACGATTGCGTTGATATGTCCGATGAGAAGGATTGCCAAAAAGAAAGAACATGCGGCACAAACGAGTTCCAGTACGGGTTTGCCTCATTACCCGGGGGGGGAGGGGGGGGGGGAAATTTAAGAGAATTTGAATTATTCAAAAAGGATATGAGTGTGGGAAACTGATTAGTGTTATTAATCTCTATAGAAAAGCGGTTTGGAAAAAGATCCGCAAAGGGGTGACGATTGCAGATGTAGCAACGGAGTTTGCATCTTCAAGAATTGGCTTTGTGATGGTGACGATGATTGCGGCGATGGCTCAGATGAGGAGCACGAAAAATGCCCGAACACCACGTGTAGTACAGCCGATAAATTCCAGGTTACTTTTCTGTTTAATTCGATTTCGTCAGCACTCATCTAAGCTGCCTGGACCTGTACGAACCGTGCTGCCTAAACCACGTTAAGCTCTTTTTATATTCTATTTTTAGAGGACCTCCATGCTTCGGGTGGATTAATTATCCCCAGAATTAACGATCAGTGTTACTGTTATAATTTAAATTTAGATATTTTGTGATTATGAAAGAGGTTATAAAAAGTAAAAAGTGAAAATAAAAGCTGAACTGAAATGTTCCGGTCCATTAAGTCGTATAAATTCTGATACAGTGCTGCAACTGAACCTCATCAGTGTGACGGTTGTAACAGAAGTATTGCAAACATAAACTTATCCTCGAGAATGGCTGTTTACTTTGCTACACATTTCACTTTTCCTTGAAACTCTGAATAGTTTCTTTATGCACGGCGGGAATATTGACTGAGTTTGCAGTGTCGATCGGGCGGAACATGCATACCTAGGACATGGGTTTGCGATGGTGAAGCGGACTGCAAAGATCGTTCCGACGAGATGAATTGCACCAGTGTTACTGCTGTTATCGGGCATCATCCACATATGGTCACCTGCCATCACAGTTTTGTAAGTTTTCGGGAATTTCGTTGAAAAGATTTTATGTGAAAATTTGTTCCGTCCGTCAGGCAAGCGAAGAACAGCCCATGTTCCTTCTTTTTAGTTACTTTTCCTGATCCAATAATTTTGAAAAAATCTCTGCTATTATGCCAAAGTTTTTGC